GATTCTTTCAGGGACGGAGTAAACAGAATAATTTGCAACCAACGTTCGAGGCCACATCGAGCTATCGAAAACAACGGTAAAATCATGGCAATATCTGTCCCACAATTCACATAGATAAGTATTCTTCATGACCTCTTCTCGATTGAATCCAACGCCGTTACAATAGCCAGAGAAATAAAATAAAGACAACATTCTTAAATGTTCCTTACTGCTGAATTAAATCAAGAATACACGATTTTGATTTTAGATACTATCTTTTCTTCTTTTGTCTTCTTTTTTTCTTTTTATTCTCTTGAGCATTTATCCTTAAGCGACAAAAACAAGGTGTTTTTACTTGAAACTCTTGGATCGCATTTGGTAGATGAGAATACGGATCGTCACGGCGGAAAAACAAAGACTCTGATGTAAGTTACACTTAACAACTTCAGTCGTAAACAACCGGAAGAGGTCTTGTGTACGCACACTTCTTCTACCGTTTGCCAAACCTTCCCCGGTGTACCCAACGAAGCGAGCCGAGCCAGATATCACCGCGTCAATGCAGTTTTTTGCTTCCCTCTTCCCTCTTCTTTGGACCGTTAACGATCGCCACTAGCTATGAGTTCACGTGGTCGGCCTGGTCGGCCATTAAATGGCCTACACGCGAGACAGATGTGCTCGTCGAGATTGCGAGTATCAATTTTTTCGCTGTCGTAAACGACCTAAAGCGATGATGTAAAAAAGTCGAATGTATTTACAGACCAAGTGCGTGATGTACGAGCAAAATACAACTACTTCTCGTTTTCGCAAGATATACAATATCATTGATTTATTTCATTATATTTATTTCACCGAGTGCGAGATAATACCGGTATCAAAGGGGTCGTTTCAATGATGACGTTTGAAAGAGATGATCGGAAAGGGGACAGTGCAAACTTGTCGCAAGTAGGGCGTAATATTTCCGATATTTTCAATGCGCGCCTATCTTCCTGGTGACACGTGCTCTACACATCGGTACTCGATATATAAGTATACACATGAACCCACGTTGTGTACGTGGGAAGAGTATGCAAAGCAGAACGAAGCAGTGGCTTTGGGATGTGTACTCTACCCTCCACTCCTGTCTCTATAGTGCATTGTGGACCTGCACAAGCTGATGGCTTTTATCTAAAGCACAATACACTGTTTTCCTTCCAGGTTGGCTGTCCGTCAATGCTACTGAAATGTAAAAATGATACGCTGAAGGAAAAATCACCTGTTCTCATTGTCGCTGATCTGTCACCCACCGTTTTTGAAAAAGTAGATAAATTCCCATTTCCGTCATGAGATTCATTTTAATGAACTCGGTCAGCTTAATCTTTATCTTTTTTTTAGTTCTAAGAATTTTAAGCGTTTTGAGAAAAAGAAAAGTAAGTTGGAGCGAGATTAAAGTTAATTGATAAAAACAGAGATAAGACACCTAGACAGACTTGGAATGATGAATCGAAATATTATCGAAAAGGAATAATTCTTTAATTCAAATCGATTTAATGTAATAAAAAACAAGTAAAGTATTGTTAATTAAACAGTCAATAAAGATATAACTGTGCTAATAATATTAACGTTATTAATAATGGAAATATCGGAAAAATGTAGATGGTAATAACTAAATGGCCTCATCGGTCAAGATGGCTTATCGTGATCGACGACCTACCAATAAAATGATACGCTAGCCACGTGCGATAGTCGAAGGTAAAGAAACCGATCGATCACCCACCCTGCTGAGCCTCCTACTTCCAAAGAAGTAATTGTCGACAACGAAACGCATAAAAAGCGTATATCTTTGGAAAAATCTGGTCCTGATTACGTACTAACGCATTCGATGTCTCGTTCCTTCATATCTCCCTTTTTCCCTGGTCCCTCTTCAAAAGCTAATTTACGAATCCGACATCCATCAACCGGGAAAAATATCACGGGTTCCGATTCGCTCGCCAGTCGGCTGCCAAACCGAGATGCGGAATATTATGTATGGGGAGAACGCATCGATTACAAAGTAACAAGTATTTTTAATTTTTTTAAATTTGATTCTACATTGGTTGCAACTAAATAACGTTTTAATTTGAATTTATTCGCGTGACTCCGTAATTATAAAATTTTAAAAAACCTCTGGGGACATATATGAGCACAACATTATATAATGACACGCTGCATAAACGAGTACATAATTTTCGTTGCCATTAAAAAGCGCTCGCGCACAGCTGTTTGGAGAAGCTGGAGCTTTTTTACGCCTCGTACAGTGACGAAAAGCCCGTCACAGTGAAATGTTCGACCAGCCGTAGTCGAAATAATTTGTAGTTTCACGAGAACGCAATGCGACAACTGCACTTTCGTTATCTAGCAAACGGAAAGGACCGGCCAAACCCGACAAACAAACTCTAGTGCGTCGCATTCACGTATTTACCCGCACATTGATTAAACTTCGTGCAGACGACGGCTATTTATTCATATTTTCGACGAGGTAGTTGCTCAAAGAGCGATTACAACTGAGTGACATGACTGGGCTTTTATCAGCAAAATCGAGTGCGTCGTACGTTTCATTTTAATACCGTATTTCACTGACGAACAAATTCTGCGAAATTGATGCACATACTTGTGTCAAACGTGCAATAAACAAATTTAGGCCTCTACTCTGTAAGTCTTAACGATTGTAACGATATCGTTACGTTATCGTTGCGCAAGTAATTTGTACATGGTAAAAAAATTGCGCAAAACCCGGGAAAAAATGTTTCATATACAATTATATATAATTATATAAAATTATATAAAATTATATACAATTACATATAATTATATATAACTGTGGACATATTTTATACATAATTATATGTAATTAAATATAAAATATGTCTATATATACCTACATAAAATTTTTTCTCGGGGACATTAACGATATCGTTACAGTTGTTAAGAGTTGCAGAATAAAGTTCTTAATTCTGTAAAAGATTTAATTAATTTATTTCATTATATACTTTTTTAAAAATTAAGAACTAAATAAAGAAAGCCTATATCAACGTTATTCGTGCGTAAATTATTATATTTAATAACAATACAAATTGAAATTTATATAGTTTATTTTCTGCAGACTTGTTTAAAAGATGGAGAGAAATCTATGTTCCTTTAGAGAAATTGTTAACAACTTTTTTAAATTATTAACCTTTTTACGATATATTGCATAACGACGAAAAAGGAATATTAATTCGTTCCACAATCGCGTAATTTGTCCCTTGCTCGACGAAAGCTGCAAGCGATAATCGGCTGCGCTTTAAATCACCCAGGCAACGACGCAAAAGCGAGTGGCGTGCTTTAGAGCCCCGAGCGAAGGCCGTAATTGATTAAATAAATCCGCGTCGACGTATTTCACGGCGTGAGGAATCACTCGTTGTACGGTCGTCGTCGTCGTCCACATGTTCTTCCAGGCGAGAAAAAAAACAGTTCCCAAGGACCCGTAAAACTTCCAGGCAAAACGGATTTACCGGGCATTCCGTGCCTTTATTGGCATTCGACCGACGATAAAAATAGTCGCCCGCTCTTTCCTCGTCGCCCACGTTCCTTTTCTCACCCGCCTCATCCCGGTAGGTCTATACATCAGTGCACGTAAACCCAAGCCTGCCCAAGCCTACCCCTCGTGTACTAGCATTTACCGTCGTCCCCCGTAGATCGACGTCACCACAGGTTGCGGCTCCCTTAGCCGTAGGCGGTATGCAGCGCGAGAGAGCTCGTTCTCGTGGCTCTCGCATTAGAGCTTTCGCAATTTGGGAACTCGGAGGGTAGACGACGTGCGTTCAAAGTCCCATCAGGTTGGGCGATACAGCTTCGGGGGATAATAGGAGAGGGTGCCCGGTGTGACGGCAGCGACGGTGGTGGCTTAATCATCCGACTAATTCCGAACGTTTCGCGGTGCACTTGCATTGGACCAAATTCACTCGCCAGCGATAAATTATTGATGTCCTATGATTCGTACTATTAATGTGATCTAAATTACACGCTGGCGGTTACTTCAATACCACTTGATAAATTGCAGTTGCCGAACATCGATCCGTAATTATTGCTATGCTCGTTCCCGAATTATAGCTATGAGTCATTATACATACAAATGCCAATGTTTGCTATAACATGTTTACCTATAACATAGTTTCATTATATAATAATAAATGAGAGTTTAATACTTAAATAACCTACATGGATAAATTACTTAATACCTTGACATACATTTGACGAAATTATATTACCAATTATTAATACTTATTCAACTATTAATGCTGTGTAGTAAATTAATACGAATATTCGAGACGCGAAATCACTGTTAGTATCTGTGGCAAAATTATTAGAAACTGTAGAGTTTCATCATAATTTTAAATAATTTTGCTACAATTTCTAATTTCGCGTCTCTAATAATTCATTTCCTTGAGAGAATAATAAACTAGAAGAAATGATATATTATAATGTATTCAATGCACTACAGGATAGTCATATGCGGGATTAATACATGGTTGACAAAGAGGCGTGTGTGTTTATAATGAATATCCAACCGTTGGGAGCAACTAAGTGAAGCTTAACGATGTTAGCTGTTGTCTGGAAGGTTCGTAACGATCAGCATCAAATTACGGTAGCCCCTCTGCCCTGATGAGTACTTAGTTTACCTCGAGGTGCCGAAAGTACGGTTTTTATTGATTTAATGGCTAGACGCTCGATTAAAAATAAAGATAAACTCAAATACCCTCGTGGCTTTCCTTTTACGTTATCTTTGAAAAATACTTGATTTAAAAAAAAACAATACTCATCGCATTTATATGTATATCTGTATAATTTAAAATACATAAAAAATAAAACACGGAAAAAAGTATTTGAAGAATGTAATCGTATTAATAGTGATTATATATTTATATGCTGTATTCATTTATTTATTAACATTTGGTAAAATTTCTATTTTTAGAGTTAGAATATATATAAAATGTAAAAATATGTAAACTAGAGAGAGAACTTACCAAATAAAAGAGGCGGCTCCACGTCGCGTACCGAGAGACTGGACGACGCCTGAGACGCACTGGATTCGGTACTCTGAGTACATCTGAGACGTTTCCTGAGTTTCGGCATATCAAAGGGTAGATCTCTTAAGTCTACACTGGTCGCACTTCCGGATGTAGTGGCATCTTGTTGCATCAGCAGCCGTCTTCTACGTAGCTTCGGCATGTCGAAAGGTAGATCCGAGAGTTCCGGCTCATTGGCAACGAAATTAATATTGTCAAGCTGCGGCTTTAACAGATGGAACCCGAAAGGTTTGCACTTGATACCAGCGCGGGACTCAATGGATATACCGCTGTCTGAACCCTGGATTTCCGCATCGCCCGACGACGACGACTGCAAAGCAAGATTAATAAGATTCTTATTTTGCGGCGTTCGTCGCTTCTTAAAAGACGTGTCCATAGGCGAAGTGACTGTGTTCGTGTTGGTGTTGTTGCCTGCAGTGACGTTATTCTCCGCGGTAATGTTCTCCTCGGGCGAGGCCTTCTGTGAGTTATTGTTGCGATTGTTGTCGGAAGTCTCCGAGGCCGGCTCTTGCGACGACTTGTCGGAGATTGGCGAGAGGATATGCAACTTGGTGGCGTGATGGTTTAGAAAGCCAGGTAGCGACGGCTGTTGATGATGATGATGATGGTAGCAGTTGGTGCCGCCGCTGTCGGAACTATGAGAGCTCAGTGATCTGGTGCTGTGCCGACTGTCGGAACTGCTGGTCGATCTGTTGCCCTCGCTAGTACTACTTCTGATGGACTCCATACTACCGCCGCTGCTACTGGTCGCCATGCTCTCCGTACTGGAGTAACCAATGCGACGCCTCGAAGTACGTAACTTGAACTCTAAAAGGCCAGCGTCTCTTCGCGGTCGTGCAAGATCACCTTCCGCTTCGTGGGGCCTACCCTTGAACTCCATTATTGGCCTGTTCTCGCGAATCAGACTGCGTGGTCGTTGTCTCTCCTCCCGGGGCCTGTCCTTGAACTCCAGTATGAGCTCTTTATCAAATCGCCGGCCCTGTGAAGAATCAATGTTCTCCTGGACGAAGGTCTTTGGTCGACTCTTGATTTCAAGAATGCTGCCCTCGCTACTCTGCGGTGATTCTTTGGCGCGCAACAACGATTTTACCGGTAATCTCATGTCCTTCAAACGGGGATGATCTTGTTGCGAAGGTAAATTTGGCGCGCTGCGAATGTTCAACAGCAAATGATCTCGGTTTCCGTGAAATTTCGCGGGTAAGGGTGCGGTCGACGGTGGTGACGGTGTATAATCACGTGCTGGTAATCTCGGCGATCCGGTTTTCTCGTCGCTTGAATTGATCTGGAGGGACTCGATATCTTGGGACAAAGTAGATATATTGTCTGACTGTTGTTGCGATTGTTGCTGCTGCTGTTGTTGCTGCTGCTGCTGTTGCTGTTGCTGCTGCAGGCGGCTCGGAATCGGTTTTGGGCGGAGAAGTACGACTTTACGTCTATCCTTGTTTGACTGCGATTGACCAGCATAAGGAAGCGACTGCTGATGTTGTTGCTTCGACGTGTCCGTTGACGAACTCGTTCTACTCACTGGCGCGGTATTACCACCTCGTATCTGCGTTTAATTTTAATTTATTTAAAACTTGCTTTTTACGTAGAAAGAACGGTTTTGCTGAAGTATCAACAAAAGCTAGATTATAGCTCTAACAATAATTTTGTTTTTTGGATTATCTAAATAATAATATAGAACGCGTTGAAACGGATTGCTAAAATATTAAAATGTTTTGCAGCATTGTTATCCGTATCTAGTTAAATTTTTTAATACTTCAGTAAAATCGTTATTTTCGTGTGCAAATAGAATATAATAAATAGCACTTCTATAATTTTTATTTGAATACTGAATAGAGCAAAATTCAACGAAATATGTTATTTAAGAACAAAAAGACAGAAAATGGAAATAACAGATAACAAATAAAAAATCTCTATCGCATTTAACTCAGTATCAAAGTTGATAATAACTTAAAACCAATGTACATACCTGGGAATGCAGTACCGCGTGATTAGTGACTCGATCGAGATCGTCAAGATCATCGTCGGAGCGATTGACCTTGCAGTCGAAGGCCGTCTCGTAGAGGTGACGTTGCCTAGCCATCCCTTCCTCGTCCTCTTCCTCAGGCTCCGCGTCCTCCTCGTCCCCCTCTTCTCCCTCGTCCTCACCCTCCACGTCGTCCTCGTTCTCGACGAGTATCAGCTGCGGGTCTATCCTCCGCGTACGTCGTAGCTTGCGCACTTGATGCCGCGCCCCTTGCGGCTGCCGTCGGTCTAGCTCATCCTCCTCCTCTTCAGGCGATGCGACGCAGGTACAAACGGTGGTAGGCAGATCATGGCTCAACAGCCTATGAGGAGGCATGAGGGTATGATCCCACTCGGTGATGATGCACGACGAGAGGATCTCGTTTCTGCCTGGAACACCATGCTCGTTCCCCGATGTGGGGCTCACTAGATCCTGACTGCGATATTGCGACGGTAACGGCGGCGGTGGATACTGCTGTTGTGCTTGTTGATAATGCCGTGGCTGAGATGAATACGATCCTCCATCACCCGCTACCGAGTTTCTTTTGGGTAAACCGGGTGTGCGCGAACGCTCGTCTGGTACATCGAGACTGACGCTCTTACGATATTTATTTGGCTGCGATTTGGGCTGTTGCTCCGGTATCTTGAAAAGATCGCCGTAATAATATGGCGATGGATGACGCACGGGTTGAGCAGACTCGGTCGGGGATTGATCAGTGAGATGTACTAAAGCGACGCAGTCTACGAGTAGACCATCGGTTGAAGTTAAAGTGTCCCTGTCCACTGATGGAGCTCGGGCCGAGGAAGCGTAGACACTATTCTTTCGTTTTCTAACGATCACTGCTCGCCCGTTTTCGTCGTCTTCGCAGGATGACCCAGACGCTGAAGGATCTGTAGATTGTTTAAAATAGAACGATAATTGTAAGATGTTATTAACTCTTATTAACTTTAATCGATATTCACTAATTTAGCACTCGGACATTTCTTTAATTGCACTGAATCAAAACTGTATGTAAATACAATAAAATATTCATTGAATTAATGAAAATTGGTCCAATGAATTCCCATAATAATTTAGGTTATAAAACTATTACTAGAATTCATTGCAAGAATGAATATGTAGTTATATATAAATGAATCCAGTTATTGTATCAATGAATTGACTGACATTAAGTCGGACATTGATCACTCATTGAATAAAAAATGAACAAAATTTTTTCAGTGCACGTTATAAAAAATTGTATGTAACAAATATTTTTCATAACCTTATATAATTTAAATTTACATAATCTTATTCCTCGTACTTTATCCTTCAAAATAAAAAAAATTGTTTGATTACATTAATTTTAAGTTTGATTAATTTAAAATACACTGAAGGACCTACGATCATCGATTAGGGCATGGATTAGGGTTAATGAAAGCGCTAATAATAACAAGTTACAAATATAATTTGTATAATTCTTGTATAATTTAATAATGCTATTTATGAAAAGATAATTTTGGCTCGTCTAACGTTTAAATATCGAGACAGAAATGACAAGTCATTGATCATAAACGCAAAGCTTTAGAAGATTTATGAGTAAAGTGATGTCCTAGCCATATAAAGCTCACTTTCGAGAACCCCAAAAATGGCGCAAAATTTTCATAATCGTCCTGTAAAGGAAGTACGGGGTTGGACCGCCGAAGAAAGAGAACGAAGCTCACGGGGAAAGTAAAATTGCCTTGAAATGGCAGCCTTATCTCCTTAAAAATCACTTCCTCCGTCCATAGGATATTACCGTAATGGTCCCTGGCTTCCTTGCCTGACGTCCTATCCTCCACCCTACGTCTTGTTCAACCACCCCTTTCAGCCTCTTTGTATTCGTCGACCCGTTCGAGTATCATCTAATGCTTCTTTAGACCTTACGATCGTGTCACGACCATTCGCGGTAGCAACGAGAGAAAGGGAAAGCAAAACCGAGCAGATGGAGGAGGCACAAAATTACGCGGACACCCGGTACATTATATAAGCAAGGTACACATGCGGAATAGACGAAAGGACTGAAGATAATGGGCACATTATGCTCGACCAGAGAGGGCTCCATCGAAATCCTTCCTCGTTCCCTCCTTTCTTGTGAAGGCGGCAAGAACGAGATACGCCATAAACCATGTTGGTTGCTGCTTTTGACAGGGATCGTCGCGGATATATGGACGAACTTGCCGAACGAGAAAAAAAAATTATTATCGGAAGCCGCTCAGTCCATCGCATCGTCCAGCCAGTACTGCTGTACCAGACACAAAGGCTCGTAGCATCAGGATGCGGATATCGACCGCTTAGAGTGCAATAGGCGGTCTTTGTACGTCTCTTTGTCGCCAAGTAATTTGTTTTTGATCGATCTCTGCACACAATGTGAGTAATCATATCGCGCGCGCGTCAAATGCACATTGTACAATGTACATGCAGTTATTTAACGATGTGGATTACGGTATGGCTTTGAATATTTATCTTACCGTTCACTGTGCTCAGTTTATTAATATCCGCGGTTTATATAATAGAAGCTCCGCTAACTTAATTTTTTCAGATAACATCATAATTTTCTATATTAATTTTTATACTAAAAAATAGAAACAGCAGTTCGCGATATTTGCGCTGGCTATCAATAAAATTTTTTATATTTCTTTTTATATATTAATCATAATTAAATATAATTTCATTAATATTTATGCTAATGAACATTAGTGTCCTAATATAATATTTATAACATTATTTTCCTTTTCAAGCTGTTTAAAATACTCCAATTTTACCCATTGTAATAATTACAATTTTTGTAACCAACTATTATAACATATCTTTTCTTTTAAATTAATTTCTTATTTTTGTAACGATATTTATTTTTGTTTTTTAGTTGTGTTTTCGTAAAGATATAATTTTTTTAACGAAACACTTTACTTTTTTCAGAAACTTGCGTTATAACGTTATAACTTTTGATACTATTATCAAAAACTTTTTTTCATTTCTAAATTTATTCTATACAGCATGTTCTCATTTTAAAGAATTAATTAAAATCTATTAAATTTATGGAAAATACGGAAAAAAAAGTTTGGAGTCTAAAATATTCGTTCTGTGTAAATTATAATAGGATGATTCGGACATTGTTATAATTGAGATATTGAAGATATTAGTTACTATGCGACTATAATACAATACATATTTTGTAATTGTCAGATGTACACACGATTAAATATATTTTAATAATTTCAAGTTTATTAAATTTAATGCAGAAAATTGTGTAGAGTTAGTTAAATAAATATCATACTAAATTTATAAATAAATTCAGAAATACCAACGAGTACAATAGAATATAGATTTACTTTATATTATTATGCCATGGTACTGGTCAGGTAAAATCACTGTGGGATCCATAACGCGGCAGGATATCCCCAATTTCCTGCGTATTTCACTATCACGAGAGGGTTTAAACTTCATTTTCCATGGTCAAATACAAAGGAGTGGCGTGACTGGGGGATTCGTAAAGCACGAAATGGGGAATTAATTCCTGGACAATGATTCCGACAAATTATTGCACTATCCGCTTGTCGCCATAAAATGGGGACGAACCGCGTGCGATTCCATTTTATCTTCTGCTTCGAACTCGCGGCACATTCTTGGCAGCGGGTGACAAACGGCGAAGAAGCCCCGGATACTAGAAGCTGCGGAAGAAATGGTCCCTACGAAACCAGACGTTGTCTACGTATTCAAACTTTCACAAAGGGGCAGGAAGGCGACTGATGACCCATCCCCTTCACGAGGATGAAAAACGGGAGTGTGGATCCATTACCTTTTCTTTTCACCTGAAGCTACTTTTCTACCGACTTTGTTCGGCGAAACTTTTCGCCGTTAAACTTTTAAACATTCAAAAAGATGCGGTGTGCGCAGGATTAGACATAACACCGATCCGCAGAATTAATGGTAAAAATACAATACTGGATGTTGCAACATCAGAGCGGAATGCTAACGAGGAAACGCAATATTGTTTTACGCAGTTGGTGATGTAATATCACGATAAAATTATATCAGAGAAACGTGCTGAGAAATAGGGGAACTCAATCCTCGGGAAACAAAAAACAAGGTAAAGAAAACTCCTGTGGAAGTGAAATCGAAGAAGACATGAATATGTATTTGCATCTGTTTCGTTCGTGCAAACTTAAGCAAGACGTAGGATTAAGTCTCGGAAAAGTAAACATATTAAAATACTGCAATAAGCAAGAAAACGTTGTTTGCGTTTATTACAATATTTGAAGCAATCTACGGTTGAATAAAAAATAAACCTGAAACCTCTTTGCCTTAAAAAATTGAAATATAAGGGGTGACGAGACTGGTAATTTTTTTTTTTTTTTACCTTTTGTGATGTATAGAGGACACACGAAAATTACATTTCAAGGCTGCTCTACATACGACCAATTGCATCGTCCTCTCGCGTAGTTGTTATTCGTTTGCAAGCGAGAAATATTGCAATGGACAGTACGACTTTCCATTGAATGCGCACGCAAACATACACATATACAAAAGCATGCTGGCGTGTCGCCAAATTGCAGTGATATTGATTAACAATCAATAATCTGATCTGTGAAATATCTGTCGAGGGTCGACTGTACGGAAGAGAGAATAGCGAACTAGAAGGTTGATGATCGAGCAGTTCGATTAAATTGGACTGGATTACATATATTGGCCGAAAAAATGCCAACGTCCGCCCTTGTGTGACGTAAATGAATTTTTTTAATTGATGAATAAAACATTCGGGATAGTGGTTGAGTTCAAATATCTATCTGCAACTGGTATACCTATGTAAATATATTATTTATAGTAATATGAAAATATAATTATATGTCAGGTGCTTTTCCTGAATAATTGTTGAGATTTTATTGAGAATTATATGTTATACATTATGATATATATTTCATATAATACAGAATTTAATAAGTTTAGCAAGCAAAAATAAGTTCTATGTAAAATGGAGCTGACAGTGAAAAATCCGTTGACGGATTCAGATGAATAAATGGCTAATTATTGTACATAACGGGACGTGTAGATGAGTCAGTAACGGATACTACATGCGAATGAGTGATCAAGTGACAGAAAATGAAAGAGGGTACGTGTATGCAGAGTTAGGGGCGACGATACATCGGGGATAGGCAGTGCCTACCCTAATGAATCTATTACGGCCAGTGAGCGACAACCCTCGCCTAGCAATCACTACAGATAACACGAAACACTGTCGCATGCATCCTGTTTACATGAATCTGCAGATAACGAAGATGAACATTCGAGACGATCTATTTTGGATTTACAATGCATAGGATCTACGTGCGAACTAGACGATGAGGCAAAAAAAAACTAGCGCAAGAGAGTTGTTATCTGCCTCGATTAAGGTCAGTAGATAACGATATTGCAATCAATTTTCCATTAGGAACAGTCGTCAAGGCCATGGAATGTAATCCATAATAGCTCGCTGTTAAAAATCGTTTATAAACCTCGTAATGTTATACAGCTTATTTTAATATCTGCCAAATCATCTAGGCATAAAAATAAGAATAATTTTATACCACTAAATAAAAAAATCATATTAAATGATATAAATTGAAATTATAATATAAATTCTAAAATTTAATAAATAATGATATAGATATTAATTAAAATTTCCGTTTGGAGTTTATCATTTGAAGTTACAAATAATTATTATTTGAAGCTACGTATAATTATATTTGTGTAAATCATAATAATTATACAACATATCATACTTCGAGAAGAGATCATTTCAGCAAATACTATATCCATCTTAGCATGTTGTTAACACAAAGCTCTAACTATTGTAACAGTATTTTATCTTGGGATCAGATTCTCAATTATATGA